TGAAAAATTTAGTGCTAACTTTGTGTTGAGTTGTTCATAATTGAGTATAAAAAATTAGTAGCTTGTAAATTGCTAAAAAGGGGATTTAATCATGATATTAGGAATTTTGGGTAATACCCTTGTTGAGTTGAAATTGAGCGGATTTTGGCTTTGTATCCGTGGGTTGAATTTTTGGTTAAATGAATGAAACGGGTCTCTTTATTTGTATATTTACATGTATATAAAATTGGTGTATTGCGAATTGCAAATTTTGGAAATTGACTTGGAAAGATAGAGGTGATTGTAACTCTTTTGCAAATTAAGAAAGAACCTTGGTAAAAATTGAAAACCTTGGAACATCATTGTTGTTGGATTGAATGCCTCATAAGAATGGGATGATTATATTTCGTGCATTAATACATATTACTTAAAGGTTTTGTCCTTGGTCATCGGTGGAGGATGACATTGTGAATATGGAAATGGTTATGTGTCTGTAGTACACTCGAGTTGTCTATGAATGTTGTATAATGTGATGGTTGGAAAATGTATAATGTGCTGAGAATGAGAGGTACCATTACCTTCCAGCTAGCGCCTAAAGAATTGGCAAAGGTACCATTCCCTTCCAGCCGATGTCTGGTAAATTGGCATTTCATTATGGAAAGATGTATCATTGGCTTACCACGCTTGAGACAGGTAGAGTGGAATTTATTTATTTTTAATGCTTTGGTATATTTGAGTATGTCATGTGTTATGATGGTTGTGGTTTTTGGAAGGCCGAATTGCTTAAATGGTAAAAGTAAATAGTTGTTGGATGTTGTTGTGTTTCCTTTCGTACTAAAGGTATACTTGCATGGACATGAGTGTGTGGGAAGTAGACATGAGTAATGTGTTGAGATTGTAAGTAATGTGAAAGATATCAGATACTCGTGAACATGTTTTTGAAAAGTCAAATCAGGTGCAAGTTTAAAAATGGTGAGAAAGTGTAAAAGGCTTTTGGTGAAAGTCTTTCTTTCAAGAATTTGTTATTTGTCATATAAAATTTGGTAAAATGGTGATAAGAGGAAGGAAAGGTGAGTTGTCTACGTTAACGAAAGAAATGAATGTTTTTGAGAAAAGTGTTTATGTATGTATAGTTTGGCTATAAAGTGTCACATTATTATATAATATGAGACTAAGCATTCATGATCATAGCTATCTATAGGTTGTTATTGTTGAGGATCATGTTGAAATCCCTACTGGACTATATGTTCATCCCACGTTACTAATCTTTTTTAGATGAATATGAAGAAGTGTTCAAGGTCATGGATCTTCTTTATCTGTTAGCCACAGGGCCTTTTAATTGCGGGCGGAATGCCGTTTGTGTAAAAGGGTCAAACCCTTTATTTTATTTTAAGATGTAAGCCTTTAGGCAATTTATTTGGACATACTCCTGTTGCATTCATTTTATATTCGAATGAGGGAATTATTATTTTGTATTCCTTGTAAATATAACGAGCTTTTGTATGCTATCCCTGAAATTGAATTTATAATAATGGTTTTGGTAATAGAATTCGAGTAACAAAAAGTGGGGCGTGACAGATTCACTGGTTTAACTGTGATTTTAGCAGTTTTATCAAAATATATTGGTTAAATTTGTTTGAACCGAAATAAATTAAACATTGACCTGATTAAAGATTAAACGGCTAACATTGCATGATTCGAAATAAACTTCCTGCCCAAACAATTGTTAATTTTTAAACAATTAAGAAAATCTCCATTGGCTAGCTTTCATTTAACTTTTATATTACAATCTCACATCAAGAAAAGAAGAAAAAGTGAATTGTTTCACTTACATAAAGTGAATCTTATACTCTCATTTATATAAGCAAAATAAGATTTTTAGTGAGAAGTTTTCTGATCAATATCTCATACTAATTTTTTTGATTTTCTTAATTTTAAACAATTAAAAAAATCCCGATTGGCTAGTTTCCATTTCACTTTTATTTTACATAATATAAAAAATTAAATATAATTATCATATTTTAATTAAATAATGTATTATTTTATCCCGTGCATAGCACGGGTGATATGCTAATATATTATATAAGCAAAAGGGGGGGGGGGGGGGGGGGGGTTTTAATGAGAAGGCCCTTGTGAAATTCAAAACCCTCATATGATTTTTCTAGAATTCTTATTTTTTAATTAATTAAAAAAAATTCTATTGATTAACTTTTATTGAATCATTTAAGAAAATAATAATTAATCCATTTAAAACGAAAGTTAATTAATCTATTTAAAAATTTAAATAGCTTTTATGCCTTGATTTGCATATTACAAAAGGAAAGTTAATTAATTCATTTAAAATTTTAAATTTGAAAAGAAAGTTAATTAATCTATTTAAAAATTTAAATAGCTTTTATGCCTTGATTTGCATATTACAAAAAGAAAGTTAATTAATTCATTTAAAAATTTAAATTTGAAAAGAAAGTTAATTAATCTATTTAAAAATTTAAATAGCTTTTATGCCTTTATTTACACATTTTAAAAGGAAAGTTAACTAATTCATTTACAAATTGAAATTTAAAAAGAAAGTTAGTTAATCTATTTAAAAATTTAAATAACTTTTATACCTTGATTTACACAGTTCAAAAAGAAAGTTGATTAATTTATTTGAAAATTTAAATTTAGAAATTGAAAAGGAAAGTTAACTAAAATATAAATTTAAATTTGAATAATATATTATTTTACACAATTTAAAAAAATTAAATATAATTATCATATTTTTATTAAATAATATATTATTTTATCTCATACATAGCACGGGTGATATGCTAATATATTATATAAGCAAAAGGGAGGATTTTAATGAGAAGGCTCTTGTGAAATTCAAAACCCTCATGCTATTTTTCTAGATTTCTTATTTTTTAAATAATTAAAAAAATTTCTATTGGTTAACTTTTATTGAATCATGTAAAAAAATAATAATTAATGCATTTAAAACGAAAGTTAATTAATCTATTTAAAAATTTAAATAACTTTTATGCTTTGATTTACATATTTCAAAAGAAAAGTTAATTAATTCATTTAAAAATTTAAATTTGAAAAGAAAGTTAATTAATCTATTTAAAAATTTAAATAGCTTTTATGCCTTTATTTACACATTTTAAGGAAAAGTTAATTAATTCATTTACAAATTTAAATTTAAAAAGAAAGTTAGTTAATCTATTTAAAAATTTAAATAACTTTTATACCTTGATTAACACATTTCAAAAAGGAAGTTGATTAATTTATTTAAAAATTCAAATTTAGAAATTGAAAAGCAAAGTTAACTAAAATATAAATTTAAATTTGAATAATATATTATTTTACATAATGTAAAAAAAATTAAATATTATTATCATATTTTTATTAAATAATATATTATTTTATCCCGTGCATAGCACGGGTGATATGCTAGTATATATTATATAAGCAAAAAGGGGGATTTTAATGTGAAGGCCCTTGTGAAATTCAAAACCCTCATGCTATTTTTTCTAGAATTCTTATTTTTTAAATAATTAAAAAATTTTCTTTTGGTTAACTTTATTGAATCATTTAAAAAAATAATAATTAATCCATTTAAAATGAAAGTTAATTAATCTATTTAAAAATTTAAATAGCTTTTATGCCTTTATTTGCACATTTCAAAAGGAAAGTTAATTCATTCATTTACAAATTTAATTTTAGAAAGAAAGTTAGTTAATCTATTTAAAAATCTAAATAACTTTTATACCTTGATTTACACATTTCAAAAAGAAAGTTAATTCATTCATTTACAAATTTAATTTTAGAAAGAAAGTTAGTTAATCTATTTAAAAATCTAAATAACTTTTATACCTTGATTTACACATTTCAAAAAGAAAGTTGATGAATTTATTTAAAAATTTAAATTTAGAAATTGAAAAGGAAAGTTAACTAAAATAAAAATTTAAATTTGAATTTTTATACTACTAAATATAAGAATTAATCTACATCTTTCATAGATTTTTTTTTTTTCTTCTTAATGTTTAATAATTTTATATGCATTGATATTCCAATCTACATATCTATATTATAGCAAACAAATGTTTCATTAAAAAAAATCATGAAACCTCTGAGGATTTGTGATGTAGATAGAATCAAACAAAATGTGTAGATCTTAGAGTTTTAAAGTAAAAAATTTATGTCAGAATTGTTCCAATATAATTCTCTTAATATTTATAAATATTTTTTATTGATTGACAAAAAGCACTGTAAACATTAAAATTATTGTTTATTTATTTATTTATAATATTGAGTTATTAAAATAAGATGTCTTATAGGGTTAAACCAAGAATTGTTAGAAGAAGAAAAAAATCGACTCAAACTAAATTTTCTAAACTCATTTTTAATATTTAATCTAATATTAGAACCCTCAAACAAACTCATACCGGTTACAAACCGATAAAGATAATTTTAAATAATCAAGACAATTTTTAATGACTAGGTAAATGTCACATTAGCATAAATATTCAGTCAACTAGCTTTCAGGTCACTTCTAATGTTTAGTCCAACACCACAAGTCAATTTTAATCCATTTTCACATAAGAGTTATGACAACAATTTTAAGTAAACAAATTTTTAGGTTTTACAAAATAAGAAAAAATTAGTATATTAAAAAATATAAATTATTACTATCATATGGTAAATTAAAATTACGAAACTTATAAAATGAAATGTATTTATATTTTATTGTAAATAATTTTTTGTAATTTATTATTTAAATTTTTCCAATTAAATTATGATATGCAGATTTTTGTTAAGAACTTAAAAAATACAATTAATGACATTAGAATAAAAACTTCATTTAGTATAACTCTAATAAAATTTAATTGATTGTAAGTCACTTTTACAACATTACTTATTGTTAATAAAATTTAACTAATAACTGACTTTCGGTTGAAAAATTTTTTTTATTATTATTTAATGTTAATCAATATATGTGGTCCAAAGCTATCCTACAATTCTGACCAAAAGCTGCTTTAAATACATTGGCATTTTCCATTGACCTCAACCAAACCATGGCTAGAGCACAGGCCATACCATGTTTACCATGTTTGATGAGAGTACTGGTTTTGAATCTCTTGATCTCCTCACTAGTTTTTCCTTTGTCAGCTACACCACTTAAGAGGAGAAAAAGTCTGAATACTATAAAGTACCTCAATCACAAAGGGCCATATCTTGGTCTCATCACAGTCTACCCACCTGAAGAAGATGCATTCTTTGCAACAAAGGCCTTTAAACTTGACCCAATACACCCTTTTGTGGATCTCTCAGGTATATATATGTATATATTAGTGGCGGATGCAAATACAATGGGTTGTGCAGCTTTTTGAACGGTTTGCAAATGAGAAATATGAGTTGGTTTTGAAAACTAGTTAGTAGTCATTTACTGAACGTGACATGTTTATTCATACATACAGTTAACAATTCCATGGCCCTTTTTGGATGTCGAAATTGTGTGAGAAAGTTTCAAAAGAAGTTATGAGTTGATAATTGATGGATACTGTTTGTTTGTTTGTTTGTTTTTTTTTTTTTTTTGTCAGGCAGACGATTCCGGGTGGGGAACTTACATGGGAAGAAAGTCATCTATGTGAGATGTGGGATTGGAATGGTACGCTGTACTTCTGTCTCTAGCTCTCTTTCGATGTTTACAAAGTATAAGTGGATATTTTGATCCATCCAAACCAACCGAACCGATTCGTCACATTTTGGATGGATGCGAGCGGATGGTTACGGATTGATTTTTTTCAATCAACCTAGTTTTGGATTGATTGCGGATTTGAGGTTCCTTTGGCCGCAACTGAACCGCCAAACCGCGAGCACTCCTAATAATTTGTAAAATTTTGTATTTTCAATTTATTTAGATAGTCTGTTTGTGTTTTCAATTGAAAAATGGTTTAGATATTTTGTTGTATTTTCAATTTGGAAATCTTTTTATCAAATGACAAGTGTTAATATTTGGTATTTTTGTGTGAAAAATATAAGACTTAATTTTGTCATTTTAAGAAAAAATTAAATTAAATAGTTTTTGAATTAAAAAAAAAAGTGATGAAATAGTTTTTATAATGCATGGTTTTCTTATATGTATTTATTATTGGTATTTGAGAATTTACTTAATAATCTTTTGGTTATATTGAGTTAGATTGTTATCACACACAAAAAAAATGTTGACGAGTTGTTATATTATATTCAAAATTTGTAAAAGTTTAAACCGCAAAACCGATTCTTATCCATCCGCCAATTTGTCAATCCACTCAATCCGCATCCAACAATCCAGCGGACGGATGGCGGATTGGAGATTCTCCGGCTGTAACCGAATCGCGAGCACCTCTATCATGAATCAATCAAATTCATTGAAAATCAAAGTTGTCGTTAGCAGCCAATTCAAATCAATGTGAAAAATTGATTAGTTTCCCATCGATCCTTTTCACCTATGTAACTCTGTAACATCATGTGCTTATTTTTGTAAAATTGGCACCTATGTGGTAGAAAGGAGTTGGCTTGGGAAGGGGAACAAAATTCAAGTAGTTGGAATCAAGCATTCCTTGAGTTTTGCATAACTCAATGATGCTTCTCATGGTGCCTAACTTTGTAAGAGATTATCTAGTAGGTCCGACCTATAGCACGTAGTGTGCCCTTTCAATAGTAGGGGGATACATGATAAGATGGTTATGAATCTCCTTATTAATTGTTAGGTGATAGGTCAAACCTACTAGATATAGATGATCAACTTGTCATCTGAAACATGGTATCCCTGAATTCAACCAAATCATGCTAGCCATAACTGACCAAGAAAGTTTGCTCAAACAAATATATGCTCCATTGTTGTACAATAGTTTAAACCTAATGCAAACACCCCTAACACCTATACTATATAGCTTGCTGGCTTTAATTCCTTGGCAAAAGGCATCTTGCAAATAGGCCAGTAGAACAACATTCTTTCTTCTTGAAGATGATTTTAGAAATGTGTCAATGTCTACACCAACTTAAATGGGTAATGGTCTCATGCAGGTGAATGCAGCTGCAGCAACACAACAAATGTTGGATCTGTTCGACATAACAGGAATTGTACATTTTGGGATAGCCGGCAATTTGAACAATTCCATGTCAATCGGAGATGTCACCATCCCAAAACAATTTGCCCACACTGGCATTTGGGATTGGCTGGTACTATGAAGCTCATTACATTTCTTCATCATCCCACTGTTTTTCTTTCTAAATTAAGCTTTTCGTAATGACTGATTGATTACCCATATGAGACTTCATTCTGTGCAGGAACTGAATGGAACATTGGGAACTAATGATTTTGCTGACTTAAAAATTGGAAGCTACAATGTACCTAAAATGCAAGGGATTAATCTGTTGGGACAAATTGGATATAGCTACGAGGAATTCTTCTCCGAGTCAGGGAAGCCTGATACTGCTCAACCTTTGCTTTGGTTGCAGATAACCCGGAAATGGCTTCAGTTTGCTACTAGTTTGGAGGCAAGACATCCCTACCAATTATTATTTTAATTTTTTAGATCGTTTTATTTCTATATTTCTTCTTTCTTCTTAATTGGATTTTCTTTGCGATTTTAGTACTTTTTGAAGGTGGCGGGTTGAATAGAAAACCCTTCTTAATGAGTAAGGATGAAATAATGAAGTGCAAATTTTGGTAAGGGTTTGTGTTGTGGGAACAACTTGTGAGAATAGGACTATTTTTTTGTGAGTTCTGCAACGTAGGTCCATTTGATTAGAGTGAAAAGTATGTTGAAAAGCAAAAATAATAGAAAGTGAAGTGGAAACAGTAGAAGCAAGGAAATCTTATTCTCTGGTATGCATTTGGTTAAAATGAAAATTTTGAAAGTTACAAAAGTTTGTTACTCAGGAGAAAAATAAATTTTCCGGTATTTCTTGTATAAGAAATTTAACCTTTTTGCATTTCTCACCATACTCATGCTCAACAAACATGGAAAAAGTTCCATTTTTTTGAATCTCACACTTTCCATTGCTTTGCGTTCATCGTAACCAAACTTAGCCTATATGAAGCCCCCATTTTTTTTTTCTAAAGTTTACGAGTTCTAAGTTATGTTACTGCAGGGGATGGAACTAGAGCAATGTGTGAACTCAAGTGTGTGCCTTCCTCAAAAGCCCAAACTAGTAGTTGGACTCCGAGGCTCAACCGCCAACATTTTTGCAGGCAATGTAGCATACAGGGACTTCCTCTTCAATACTTTTCAAGTTTCATCAGTTGACATGGAGAGTGCAGCTGTGGTGATGGTAAATGCTTCTTAATTTCCTGCTTATTGGTTAATAACTCTCTAAATCTTCTTAATTTTTATAGCTTCCTATTGTATATGTAGTTCAGAATATGTTAGTTTAAGCAAGGCATCATTAAGTTGGCATTTCAGGAATCCACTGGTACTAATTTGTCTAAGACATTGTTAGCCACTTCAGTGTGTGATAATCTGACATATTCTGAACAACATAATTCAAAAAATTACATCACTAAAAAAAAAGGATGAAGAAGTTGATTTATGGGAAAATATAACAATTGGGTTACATTGGTGGTTTAACAGACAAGCAAGTCAAATGGGTATCCAGTGATTGTCATCAGAGGACTATCTGACGGAGCAGGAGGACTACCAGGGCAGAACTCAATTGATATATTTGGGCCTCTTGCTGCTGTCAATGCTGCCAAAGCAGTCATTCAATTTGTCAAAAATTACCATGAAATGCCTTCCCAATTCTAATAAAAACATATATGGATTTTCTATATATTGGAATTGTTGTGTTGCAAGTTTATTTATAAGAATAACAAAGTCAAAAGCAGGTGAATGGAGAAATATCTATGGTGTGCACCCAGAAAGGCACATTCTAAGAAATGCCATGCCACTATGTGGCGTTAGTTATAATATTTTGTAGTAAAAGTTATAAATGAACAAATATATGGTGTATATCCCTAAAGTGAATGTTGCGAATGTGGGATTTCAAAAGAAATCTAAACCCCAAAATCTCAAGTCTAATCAATAGAAGAAAACAATAATAATTGCGTACCTGACGTCATTGATAGAGGTAAGTAGTGGACTTCTTCGTGGTTATTGTTTTCCGCTCTAGAACCCTACTCTTGTTTGCTCTCACACACCGATGGAAAAATATGAGATGGGGGCTAGGGTTGGAGTGGGAACCTTAACCACATATTTATGGAAAATTCTATTTCCACACACCAAATTATCTATGTGTACATTTTTTCTCAATCCACACATTTAGTAATTTGATTTTTACTTCATTATCTTAGTCTACACACTTCACATTCCCAATATACCCTCACCTTCTCTATGCACATCCCCTCCTTCCATCCTTTCTCACTCCAAAAACCTTAATTTTCATGAACATCAACTTTAGCCACACACAGGAACACGAACTTGAGCAAAGCATCAATGAAAGAACACGACCCATTCTCACAAACGTTCTTGGCCTTTGGATCATTGTTGGATTTGATCAAGTAGTTCTTCTTCTTTGCACTGAGCCACTTCTTTGTCTTCGCTGCAGTAGTTTGTTTCTTGGTACTAAAGGTGTAACTTCTGAGATATCTCTGTGTCCAAGCTTAGCTCTCATGGAGATTTTTGGGTGACCTTGCATAGCCAAGAGGAGAAGAAGAACATGGTGCTGATGATGATGATGAGCCTTTCTCTTGCTTGTTTTTGCTCAACAGTCTCAAGAATCCTTTATCTACTTGTGCCTATTGACAGAGCTTCATGTGTCTTTTCTCCACTGGCAATGGAGATTGGACATCTAATATACACCCTTCAATGCAACTTTTGTAAACACAATTCTGTAAATTGCTTTCAATAGGTATATGATCATGTTTTGATATATGGGGCTATATTTCTTTTGTTTAACTTTTGGAAGATTAATTGTTCAAATTTCATTTTCAGAACGAAGTCTGTCGATTGAAGAAGTTATACAATCTAGTGTTGTTCCCCGCTTTGTATGGTTGAGGTTTGAACATGGGAGGCGATGGCCGGTGGTGGCCGGCGGTGAAGTGGCTGGTGAGATGGTGGTGGGTGAGATGTGTATGGAGAAATTGTGAGATGTGTGGGTGAGATGGTAATTTTGTTAAAGGATAAAATTGTGATTCTGAAAAGATTCATTAAGTGTGTGAAGTAAGGAAACTTGGTGTATGGAAGTAGAATTTTCCCATATTTATAAAGCCTTAATTCCATATTAGCCCATCATAAATAATGGAATTACAAGTAAGCCTAACTAAAGTTCGACTTTTGGTAATATGCATTCGCATCCTGTACAATAACAGGTGTCATAGCCTCATTATTTTCAATATTTACCATAGGAATATCAATACTTTCCTCTTCAAACAAAATATTACTAGGTTGTAACCTCCCGCTACATTTTAGCATTCTCAATAATTTAGATTTTATTAATCTAAATAATGGTATTACTAAATGGGCAATAAAACTTAAAACACCTTAACCTTTTCCGAGTATCCATGCAACTATAGTTCTTGAGTTCAATTTTCTTTCATTTGGCTCATAAAGCTTAACTTTAGTTAGACAACCCCAGACATGAAAACACCTAATATTAGATCTTTTTCTAGTCTATAATCCATATGGGTTTTAGCTACTGCCTTACTATATGCTCGAATAAGAATGTAAACTGCAATCTTTAACTTCCCAAAAGAAACTATGTCAAAGAAGAATGACTTATCATACTTCTAACCATATCTTTTAGGATCCAATTTTGTTTCTCGGCTACACCATTTTGACACAGGGTCCAAGATATGTTGTATTAAGGAACAATGCCATATTCCTATAAGTATCTCACAAATACCCTTAACGTTATTTACCTGATCCATCATATCTACCATAGTATTCACCACCATGATCGGATATAACATCTTTAATTTTCTTATCAAGTTGATTTTCAACCTAAATGCCTTGAATACATCCAATGCTTGTGATTTTTTATGTATTAAGTATAGATACCCATAATGAGAACAGTGATCTATGAAAGTGATAAAATAACGTTGACCATTCCAAGCAGCCGTAGGAAATGGATCACAAATATCAATATAAATCATTTTTAAGATGTTTGAACTCTTGTTGGTACTGAACTTCCTTATGTTTGTTTGCTTCTTCTTCATACATTCATTGCAAATTTTTAAATTTGTAAAATTAAGAGGACCAAGAACTCCACTTGACACAAGCTTTTTCAATTCTCTGTCAAGAGAAATAGCGTAGATGCTTGTGCCACAACATAAAAGAGCTCTTATTAATCTTTGCTTTGTATTGTAATTTATCACATGTAGTGAGAGGCATCCAAGTCTAACCTATATAGATTATCAATTAAAGAATCATTACCAACAAAATTTGAATTTTCAAAGAGACTAAATCTTCATTTTCCAAATGAACAAGTATAACTGTATTTGTTCAAACAGGAAAAAGAAATCAAAATCCGTCTAAATGACGGCACATAAACAGTCTCATCTAAATTCAAATAAAAAGAAGATTCTAATTTAATCTATAAACTTTAATTGCCTCAACACATACTTTATTGTCATCTCCCATGTAAATTAACATTTTGGCATTCACTGATCAGACAACTCCTTAGGCAACTTTGCATAGTAACACTAATTTGAATAGCAGTTACCGTATCTAATAATCAAGTGTGGGTTGGTACTTCAGCTAAGTTAAATCCAGAACAAACAAAAAATAAAAGTGGTCACATTTCTTTGCGAGCTAAGTAATGATACTTGGGACAATCCTTCTTCACATGACCAGCAACCTTCTTGCAAAAAAATAGTAAAGAACCTTATTCTATTTATATTGTACTTTTACCTATGAAGTCCCAACATCTACAGTTTCCTTACCTTATTATCTCTTTTCCTTTTTTTTCTTAGTGCCCGAATTGCCATAAGAAAAATTATCAAGTGAGCACTTTTTTCCTTTTCTTGCTTTAACATCACTTTCTCATGCACATACTAAGCAATGAGCTCATTAAGAGTCCATTTTTTTCCTTTAAATCTTACGATTAATTTTAAAGAGATCAAATTGTGCCATAAGTGAAATCAAAATGTGACACACATGAATTTCATCAAAAAATTCTAACTTTAGGGCTCTCATTCTGGTTACAAGATTAGACATCTCCATAGTATATTCCCTTATATTTCCTTTGCTATTATACCGCATGGTTTGCTAAAAAGCATACTTGCCTCCACCTTTTTCCGATGCAACAAATCGATTTGCAATTTAGCTTAAAAATTTCTTGACATTTTGTTCCTCGGATATTACACCTCGAATTGTGTCAAAGATAGAGAATTTTATTATTATAAGACTTAAGTGATTCAAGCATTTCCAATTTTCAAATGTAACTTTATATCAACTGTACTTTTATCAGTAAGTGCGGAAAGCTCATCAACACGAAACGCATAATTCAAATACATATACCCCAAAAACAATAGCAACATGTTTTTAGTCACAGATATAGAAGATACATTCATTTTATATAAGACAAAATAAATCTTACAATTAATAAATGTCTCATCTACCTTTATGCATTGATAAAAATATAAAACCATAATTATTATTATCATGCAAAAATTAGTTTAATCGAAGGGGCAATTAATTAGACTATAGGGCATTAACTTTAATAATAAAATATTAAACTTTTAGTAATGGACTCTCATGAGAAACCTATGCATTATTGCAATCAAGTTTTGGACAAGCATTATAACATGCAAGTGATCTTCTCCCAACAAGGCTAATTAATATGAATAATATAAAAATAGGTCTGGCCAGACAATATGTCTTCCTTTGGGCCGGCTATAGAATGCATTAATCGTATAACTTTATCACCCACATTAATTACGTTATACTGTCTATGATCCAGCCAAAATAATAACTTTCCTTTGGGCCGATTAGTATTCGCATGAATCTAGACGTAATCATATGCAATCCAAAACTTTGACCTCAAACTCAAGAAAATTTACATGACAGAGACCATTTAGGTGGTATATTACTTCAATTATCCCAAATTGTACGTGTGAATTGCGAAGAAATCTTTATATTCCAAAATACCAACTTTAATATTCTTTATTGAAACAATTAATGTCTAAAAAATGACAATAATTTAATAACAAGAAGAAATGTATGAAAAACAATAAACTTGCCCAAGATTATGAGCTATGGCAACAAATATATATACACGGTGCCAATCATATTTTCTTTAATATGTAATAGCAAAGTAGATAATAACAATAGTGCTGTGAAAACAATAAACTTTACATGTCTTTCAATCATGAATCACACCATGTATATATTACTATTAACAGCATTGGAATAATAACAATATATATATATATATAAGCACTGAACCTGATCAAACTAGAATCTTGAACATGAAAGTGTTCTGTATCTGCCGCAACAAGGCAACCTTATGCTCTTACAATTATTATTATTATTATTATTAATCAATAATAAATAAAAGAACATTTACTGATCCCATGTGAATATCACAATCATAAATAACGGAGCGGAAGTCATGAAGATATGTGTATACACACAACTAGTCAACAAGGAATAGGCTGTAATATAAGTATACTATCATCATGATCTTGTACGGATCAAAAAAAATAAACCTTATATTTACCTCAATGATTTGACAAGAAGTTTTGATACTATTTGTGGGATTTCAAAAGAAATCTAAACCCCAAAATTTCAAGTCAAATCAATAGAAAAAAACAATAATAGTTGCGTACTTGACGCCATTGATAGAGATAATCTAAGTAGTAGATTTCTTAGTGGTTATTGTTTTCCGCTCCAAAACCCTGCTCTTGTTTACTCTTACATACTGATGGAAAAATATGAGATGAAGGCTAGGGTTGGAGTGGGGACCTTAACCACATATTGATAAAGCCTCAATTCCATATAAGTCCATCATAAATAATGAAATTACAAGTAGGCCTAAACTAGCCTCTACACATATGGTTTAGCCCATACTCCTTTAGTGCACATATATAGCATGACCAAAAATATGTGTTGTAAGAGATGTGTCCATGACCTGGTCATATTTCTGTATAGATCATAATTTAATGGGTTAACCGACACCACTCATTCTTCATTTAACAGCATACAATATATAATCATTTGATCTATGTAGGCCTACCTACAGAAAATTCCTTACAGCAAACCATTTGTGGTGAGAAATATGACTAAGAATTTTTGTAAGAAAAGTTACATGTGTTGTTTAAGTATGTTGTGACAAGGTGTATATGGTATTCCTTTTTAATGGTTCACACCATAACACATCCCAAGTAATATTACGATTAAATTATACTCGTAATCCTTGTAGTTTGTCTTTTGTATCGATTGTAGTTCTAATTTGAAATTTCACATTATAGCAATTTAGTTCAATTGATAATGCTTTTTTAGAAATTTGATTGAAATTAATGAGCAAAATAGTCCATTCAATCTTTTCAAAGTAATTACGGGGTTGGTGCACAATTTGAAATGATTAATTCCAATGTCTTGGAGTTTTGTTCAATTTCTTAACAAATCTTATCAATTGACTTAATACGGTTTTTTTTTTTTAATTATTTTTAAATTGATATACTTGAAACTATATTGGTCAATTGAAACAAATGGAAAATTATGAAATTTACCCTAATTTTTTCGAGTTAAACGGTTGATTAATAAGAATGACAAAATGAAAGCTTACAATATATGCTAAAGTTGTACATATTTGTATTGTCCTCTTCATTGAATAATCTTAATTTGCAATCAGTGCATTTAGATCAAATTCAGCTTAATGAAAAATAGAAAAGGCTATAAATGTCTATGTATTTTATCTGTTTCATGAAAAGCAAAGTTTCGACTCATCTGCATGGCAATTTTGACTATCACACAATTAATATGGGTATGGTTAAAATAAACCGAGTATATATAACATTTCACTATGTGAAATGATGAATAAAATTTGGAGACACTTATCGATCCTTCCTATTATTTATCATTGTAAATTTATTCATAAAAGCAAGAGAGACTGATAAATTTATCACTTTATTAATAGGACTTAATGGGTAATAAGTCCTAAAAATAGAACCTATTGATAATTTATCCTAAAATGTAATTAGCCAACTAACACAAAAAAAAGGCTACAATGTGCACTTAAAAAAAGGTGCATATAGTATGCACCTTATACAAATATATATATATATATATATATTG